TTAAAGCAGGACTTTTTTTTTTTTTGCATCGGTCCTGATGCAGATCATCTCATCTGAGAAAATCACTCATATTCCATGGCCACTGTCATCACCATATTCATTGCTCTAATGCTGCTGCTGCTATTTTGATCGCCCGTTTAAAAATTCTCACACCTGTGAAACCTCCAGGGGGGGCCGCAGTCTGACGCTGATGTGTCAAAAGTTCAGAAACAGATCAGAAGTAAATTTCCAGTCAGCCAATGGGCTTAAAGAACAAGGTAAAAACAGGTCTAAAATCACCAGCTAGGCTCAGCTTTGTTTTTTCCTAGGACAGTAAACGTACCTCTTGGTGGTCAACTTGACCAATCAGAAGCAGAGGTCGAGAGGTCGTGAGTCAAGTATTCAAACTGCTGTTCACCAAGTTAAAATTACATGCAGATTTCACGATGGCCACAAGTGTGGTCGCAGGACCGTTTCACTGCTGCAGCGTGAATCAACTCCTCTACAAAGATTCTCCTTCTGCTGCTGCTGCTATTTTGATCGCCCGTTTAAAAATTCTCACACCTGTGAAACCTCCAGGGGGGGCCGCAGTCTGAGGCTGATGTGTCAAAAGTTCAGAAACAGATCAGAAGTAAATTTCCAGTGAGCCAATGGGCTTAAAGAACACGGTAAAAACAGGTCTAAAATCACCAGCTAGGCTCAGCTTTGTTTTTTCCTAAGACAGTAAACGCACCTCTTGGTGGTCAACTTGACCAATCAGAAGCAGAGGTCGAGAGGTCGTGAGTCAAGTATTCAAACTGCTGTTCACCAAGTTAAAATTACATGCAGATTTCACGATGGCCACAAGTGTGGTCGCAGGACCGTTTCACTGCTGCAGCGTGAATCAACTCCTCTACAAAGATTCTCCTTCAAACCACGTGACGTCGAGGCTAACGTGAAGCGTTTACTACAAAAATCAAGCCTCGAGATCAACAACACACGAACCAAACACCTTCAGCTAACCTACCAACACAGATAGAGATGCACAGGTACGTTTACCACAGCCTCAAAATGTGAGATTATATTTGAATGGTCAAACGTCGGCCTCTCTGTGTTCCAGAGAATCAGCTCGTCTCATCTGCTTCCACTTTAGCAGGCTAATAGTACTGTAAAACTGAGGGCAAACGGCCGGTCGAACCTCGGCGAACGCAGTTGGTTGTTGTCGTGAAAGTCATACACACAAACACACACACAAAACCAGAGCGTGAGGACTGGTTTTGTCTGCGATAACGGCTTCACCCCGCCGTCACAGACAGTTAGGCCGAGGAGCAACAGTGGTGGACTCACCACGGCCGCCTCCGCCGCTGTCTTATGACAACACTCAACACCCAATCACAAGGCCATTTTAGGGAAAAGCACCATGGGAATTAAGTTTTCACATAAAAAAAAAAAGTGTTTATAGGCAGAAACCAGTTTGTGTCAGAGCTCTCACATCCATCAACATCTGTTGAGGGTGTGAAGTGTACAGAGCTAATCCTCAGGAGGGAACTGAATGTTCAGAAAAGTGCTAATGATAATCAGAGAGAGAGGGAGAGAGAGAGAGAGAGAGAGGGAGAGAGTGGCGTTGCTAACTTGTTTTTAAGCGCCTTCTTACCTTGGCCATTTGGGCTTGCACTCCAGTGGCTTTGAGAGATGACACGGCCTTCTGTGCTGCAGCTGGGCTGTCAAAATCCACAAAGCCGTAGCCTGGAGAAAAGGTGGAGGGGGGTGGGGGGGGAGAGAGAAAAAAAAGAAAGAAGAAGACATGCATTAGAAAAGAAAAGGCAGATTAAGGCAGATGACTAACAAGGAGAATGACAGGCACTTGGTAATTGTAACAGTAATAACTTGGTAACATGACTACGGAGGCTGCCAGTTCTCATATCTGGTGAGCACTACATTGTCTGATAATTAGTGACACTGATGCTCATAGGAGGCCGCTATGCATCTTAATTAGAAGCATGGATGAGCGATTTAGTAATAACAAACCCAGGCACCCGGCCCACCTCCACCTACACACACACACACTCACGGAGCAGAGATTCAGACAGACACAGAGTAGCATATAAGACATCTGCTATAGGAACATGTACATGTTTTAAACAATATTATTGTTTTTAGAAAAATATCTCAAAACTGTCCTCACAGGATCAACAGGTGGTGCTATAACCTACTCTGTGAAGCCCTTTTTGTCCTGTCTCTAATGTATAAAAACTACAGAGTCATTTAAGCACAGAGTTAGTGGCTAAAGGCTGTTATTGTCTCATCTTAGCTATCTTTAGCTCTAGCTTTCTGAAACAAAAACAGAAGGAGGTGTTTGTACAATACAGAGACTATTTAATTATTAGAAAATAAATAAACAAATGTAAAGATATCTTTTGGTCTAAGTCTAAGGTTTAGCCCAGTGTTCCTGCTAAGTCACTGCCTAAACTAGTGTAGCGTTAGCTTTACCATTAGCGTAGTTTATGTACTTGCCTTGTCTTTGTGAAGCTCCACAGAAATGGCAGAAAAGATGTTAAAAGAGTCCTTAAAAGAAGCTTTGACTACAAACTGATGTAGTCCAGTGTTTAAATGAGGTCAAATAGTTCTGTTTATTAAGGCTAGTTGTTAGTTAGCCTTAGTGCTAACTGGCACTGTTGCAGTCTGAAACTGAACTGAACGGCAAACAACACAAACAAGAGCTTTTCACTATTATATTAAACCAACTGTTATGTGACTAACTATCACATATTTCAATAAATACTGCACCGTGACTGTTATATAAATGTTTACCGTATGAAAATGAAGACTTTTGACAGAAAAAGGTTCATCCATCGTCACACTATTGACTGGTAAATACAAAGACAGTCACTAATGTTAATGAAGTAGGTAAAATATCAGACATACACGTTTATCAGCTGTGTGATTTTCAACAACGCTGCAGCCAACTGGTCAACATCAGGCAACTTTAAACCCATTTTAACACAACCCCATTCCACAGACTCCATAATCCTCTCCACAGTAACAAATCCCTGGGCGGTCGTCGATGTAGCGGAGCTGCAGCCGTTCTGCTGCACATTATTTTTTAAAGTCTTTTTTTTTTTCCATAAGCCTAAACTCACATAAATTACCCAAAACACACAGGCTCTGTGTCCGTCTTCTGTTTGTCCTCTCATGTCCTTCTGAGCCATCAAAGTCCACACGTCCACACACACACACACACACACACTCATATTTCTCCTGACATTAACAGCCACCGGCCCTCCATCTGGAAATTCATCAGCAGAGAAAAGTGGAGGGAATGAAAATCTGTGACTGTGATTTATGAGTTATTGTGATCTGGACCTTCTCTGGGACGTATCGGCGACGGGGGTCACGTCTGTGTTAATTAAAAATTTCGTGGCAGATTAAAAGCAGTCAATGGCGCCCCTTGATCCAGTGTTTCAGAAGAAAAGTGTAGAGAAAGGGAGAAGGGGGGGGGAGTGGGGGGGGGGGGGGGGGGGGGGGGGGGGGGGGGGGTTACCACAAATGATCACATGCTAAAAACACATAAAAGAACTTAATCTGTGGCCGTTCACACCTGTATTATGGTGTGTGTGTGTGTGTGTGTTAGTGTGTGATTGCGGTGCTGGGAGAGTCTGGCTTTTGGGGTCAGCGTCTCATCGTGTGGAGTTGAAGGATTGTGGAGTAATGTGGAAATCATAACCTGTGGCGGAGGGGGACTGGAGCGCCGGGCCTGATTAATGGGCAGCTGTTGGAGCAGCGTGGGCAGAGGTGGAGCTTTAATTGTAGAAATATGAAGAGCTGGGATGAAATATCAACAAAAAAAAATTTTTTTGTTGATATTTCACTTTTGTAAAAAAAAGGCTGGTTCAAAAACGCTCATCAACTGTAACATATTTTACATATAACGTGAGGTATTGTCTGTATATAACTTCATAAAAACTGACTGATGTCACTCCACTCCTGGTGACTGTGACGGCGTCAGCATGTGATTGAGATCATATTTATATCGTTAAAACTCTTCCACTAAACCCCGTGTTTTCTTTGGCAGCAGCTGCAGACATCGTGATGTTTTGTCGTCCGTGTCACATTTGAAATTTTCCTTTAATTTGTCACACGTTGGTCTCTGCTTGTAAAAAAAAAAGGAAAGTGGGGAAGAAAAAAAAAGGGTCCACGGTTAAACAGAAATCCCAAGTAAATAAGAGAAAAGTGTTCCTCTTACAGGCTGATTCTGCAGTTACCAAACACTTGGTGGAAAAAAAACAAAGATTTTCTTCACTTGATTTATTTTCAGAGCCTGTGGGAAGGAGAATTTGACTGCAGGAGGAAATAACGCTGCACTTCCTCTCCTAAGAAAATATTAACGGCAGGAGAATCAGTCTATTAGAGACGCCCAGGGTCCAATGGCTGATCCTCTTTAATAATCCAAACAGTTCAACAGTGTATACCTGGGACCCCCAAATTATAAATGCAATATTCCCCCCACTACTACCTGGAGTGCACTTATCAAACTTTGAGCAGGAGGAGGATTTGAGAAAATGCTGACCTATATTCAGAGTGAAGGAGGAGGAGAAGAGGGAGGGTGGAGTAAGGAGGGGGTGAGGAGGGTGAGGAGAGTGTGCACAAAGACGAGGCAGAATGGGAATGAGGGTTATTTGAGGTCAAGTGAATGCAGTGAAATATTTCTGACTGTATATTGTTGTATGATACGTGGATAATGATCTTAAACGGTGCCGTGTTTGATTTAAAGCCAGGGGGCGACGGAGCAAAACTGGGCCGGGCTTTTTTTTTGTAACTGGAAACATGGAATAACAACTGAAGGAGGTTTCAATATGTTTTGTTCTTTAAACTAAAACACACTTTTATAATTTACTCTGATGTACAAATAACTAGGTGGGTTGATAACAGATCAGTGGTTATTATGGGTGTGATGTCATCTGCCCATCAACGTGAGTGAATCAAGCCTATTTATATACTATTTTAACACTACTATATTCAAGAAAATATACAATAAATAACAAATACATGTTTCTGACATTTTCAGCCAATCGAAAAACGTAATACTGAAAATAGAATACTTTCTCATTAATCACTGTTTTATATTTACAAATACATATAATCAATAGATTATATAGGAAATATATGTAATGCAAAAGTGTGTAAAAATATACAGAGCAGTAAAATTAGCGCACCTTCATGTTGCTAGCTAAGATGCAGACTAGCGTTAGTTTTTATCCACTAGTTTTTAGTGGATTAGTTATTGATTAAGATCTAACTATATATTATTATAGTTAGAGATAGCACATTGATTATCAGCTCATATATTTTTTCAAGGATAATTCAACGTCAACATAAACAAAAGTTAACACAAAGGAAGTCTTTTTTTTTAGTTCACAGAAAATATAGAAAAATAACATTATCTTTCATCGACTCCTATCAGTCATGAGGAAAGAATCATCTGGATTCGCCTTTTACTCGGACCAATTTGATCAAAACTGTCTCCCAGTCTGCACCACAGGGAGAGTTGAAGTTAAAAACAGATGATCTGTCACGGCTTTTTGACACTTTGTTGTTGGTCGCTCTGTCTTTAAACTCAGTTCAAATCCCTCTCCCACCCACTGAGCCGCAGCTTCGTACGTTCCTGGCTGTGTTTATGACGACGTTCGGCGTATGTTGATCTGTGTTTAGTTAGCCGGCGCAGGGATTACGTTGTGAAGGAGCGGTCATTAAACAACAATGTACTCGGCTGCACACACAGCATTCCTCTGTGTATATACACAGTACATGTACACACAGATGTTTGAAGACGGAGCTGCCGAGGCCAAGAACACGCTGTCCTGCTACAGTATTGAATACGGATACTGCGAGGCTACTATCGGAGGGCCGAGGCGCTGCTTTGAAGCCTCGGCAACAACACAAACAGCCAATCGATAGCTGTCACTTAGAAGCGGCTCAAAGTGACTCACTACAAGAGTAAGTGCTGATAATGCTCTGCAGCTGCACACTAATGTGAGCACGCACACACTGAGCCGCCCCGGCCGACACAAATCCCTACGACCCGGGACGGAGGCCCACATGCATATATACATGTGAGTCCTGGTACTGCTGCCGGGTCAGGAGTACACAGTACATGAAAACTTTTGAAGTTAAACTCTATCATTTTACTATGTTTATTTTTTTAAAAGCAAAAATGTTAAACTGAGGCTGGAATTTCCTGCCAGGTAGGATGGAAGTTTGTTCCTGCCAGGTAGGACGGAAGTTTGACTGGTTTCCTGCCAGGTAGGACGGAAGTTTGACCGTTTTTTTTCATATTGATCTGAAGTCAGGTTTAACAATTGATGAGTTTGAACTAGAAGTTGGAGCAGAAATATTTAGTAAATCTTTTACTAATTTTACTAAATAGTGATGGATGGATGGTCTGGAGAAGCAGCTTTGTTATTTTTATGGATTGAACTTTTTTTTTCCAATTAGAACTTTTAACTTTTGACTGAAGATTTATTTCATCATTATTTGTTGTGGAACATTTTGACTTAAGCTCCCGTAAGGATTCATTTAGTCCAACCAGAAACAGGACATTTATGATGAAAGGAATGATTTAAAAAAAAAGAAAAAAACCTTTTTAAAAAGCCCAGAGAGAAGATCTGTTTCTCCAAGGAATGAAGAAAAAATGAGCTTCGAGGTTTTATTTCCTGCTCTGTCTGTAACAAGGAGAAAGATCTAAATAC